CTCTCTCTTTCACACACACACACACACACACACACACACACACACACACACACACTGGGCCTGTGACAGAGTAGTGTCAGGTTAAACTTGCCTTTTCTCTTGAGGTTAACTTGGGAAACTCATAATCAGCATGGTAGTTAATATGCAAGTATTCTGAGCTGGTAAGTGAAAGGTTGTAGGTTTGAATCCCGCAAGGCTGATCAGTGAAGACACCACTGTGCCCCTTGGTGAATTTATCAAGATGCTGGACGTCCTGGAACATTATTCATCAAGCACTCCCACCAGTCCAATTCTGGTCATTGTCCTTTGGTTTTAGGGGTAGATGATGGCTTATTTAGGTGACCGAATCAAAAGATGTAGATCCAGAAGTATTTGGGTGTGTTTTTTTAGTATCATTAAATGTTCATATTTTGAAAAGATTTTATATATATATATAGAGAGAGAGAGAAAGATATATATATATATATAGAGAGAGAGAGATATCCCTTCTCATTTTAATTCTAAAGTTTGAGTAAATTTTTTTAGTATTTTTTTAGTAATTTATTATTTTTTTACAATAATTTTTTATGAGTTTTTATTTTAAATATGTCTGTATTATATTTCAGTTTTAGTTACTTCAGTACTGCAAGTTAAACTAAATGAATACAAGTTATTTTTTTAAGTTATATTAAGTTCTATTTATTTGTTTTTTAAGTTTAAGTTATATTTCATTTTATTTCAAGTAACTCTTTTTTTTTTTTTTAGTTTTAGTTAATAATAATAACCCTAATTTGGGTGAACCTTACCAGTGTAATGTGTGTTGTAAGATGCTATACAGTAAAGACAGAAGCATCTGCTGAGAAACATCACAATCTCTGAGGTTTGGCTGAACTGAAAGCCCTTTCCCCTGATTCAGTTTTAGATGAAAAATAGTCCTGAAACCAATTTGGTCCAATGAAATCTGGGCTGAATGGTTCGGTGACTCTGTATAATGGCAACTCCTCGTATAATAATAATGAACTTTTAGTCGCTCTGAATAAAAATCTGCTATATTGATAATATATCAGGATAGAGTTAAAAATAACTCTAATTTCATGTCCACAGTAGAGAGAGACCATCAGACATCATTTGTCGTTCTTCAGAAGCCTGAAGTGAACTCCAGTGTTTTGGCTCTGGTTACCCAGCATGCTCTCTGTGGGTGTTAAAACACATGCTATTCCTGCTGTTCTGAGTCACGGCTGAAGCTCTGCCAGCTCTCCCTCGTTCAGATCAGCCTCTCCACAGCTCACTGTGTCAGCTAGGTGTCATGCTTGTCCACACACACACACACACACACTCTCACTCTCTCTCTCTCTCTCACACACACACACACTCACACACACTCACATGCACACACACACACACACACACACTCTCACTCTCTCTCTCTCTCTCACACACACACACACTCACACACACTCACATGCACACACACACACTCTCACATTCACACACACACACACTCCCGGACCTTCTCCTTAGTAGTGTTTACTCAGGCAAACATCACTATTACTAGTGGTCATATTGAGGGTTAGGGATTTTGGCAGACCTCTACCTCTAAATATGAAAATCTGACGTGTAATTCATCATTTTTGTGCTACAGACATAAATGCCTCTTTAAATGAGGGCGAGTCATGCTGTTACTTCTTCAGTCATGTGATCAGACTTGTGATTTTTGCCTGAAAGACAATAAAACGGGTATCAAATCCAATACATTTCCATTGAAGGAGCCATATTATCTAGCCCTGGTATTAGGTTGCGGGTCAGTTTGACCCATTAGAT